CGTATTTCTCGAGCACGCTTACCCACGCCCGAGGTTCTTTGTGCCGATTACGTTTGCTATCAGTTCTGTACTTCTCTCGTACGTGCGTCCTCTGTAGTGATCTCTGCTGGGTCGCATTAAGCTGGCCCGTAATCAGGTACAGTGCTACCAATTCAATCGTATTCGCGCAGTATACTCTATCTTTCTTTGACCTTCCAATCACGGACCTTAGTCAAACTGTGCTCGCGGTTGGTGTGGCTACGTTTAGCGTGGCAGGTAGAAGTTTCAAAACAACCGTCCCTACGCGTTCCTCATTTGATTTTAGTTGTTGCCACCTCCACCAAATGGGCACTCAGAGCTGTGAACGCGCTGAGTTTATTCAAGGTCCTATCCCTAGTATTGTTGGTTTCTTTATGTCTCTTTCTGACCCAGGCTCGATAACCATCCGTAGCGTGGCTTTCACAGGTGTTGCCGTATTAGCGGGTTTTACCCGTATTTCCGAACCGTTCACAAACTTTCACAACATCTGGCAAGGTGGCACTTCCAATCCCAATGCTCTTGCAACGGCACTTGTCAAGACAAACTTTGCATATGTCGGCTGGTCCAACGCTTTCAATGTGCTCGGAGAAGTAAATGGTACTAGCCCCGTGCGCACAGTTCGAAATGCTGGGCTCATCTCGCTTGGAATTGTGACGATGCTGTTTTTTGCTGTAAATCTTGCGTACATCGCCGCAGTGCCGCTCGATGAAATCAGACGTTCTAGGCAACTAGTAGGCGCTCTGTTTTTCGAGCATGTATTCAGCGGGCACTGGGCTTCCAAGATTCTCCCGATTCTGGTCGCACTCAGTTGTGTGGGCAACATTGTCAGTGGGATTTCTCGCGTATCCCTAATTTACTCCCGCGTACCTCGTCGAATTCACAGATTGCGGTTGTGGGTGTCTATAAGTTACGTATCACCCTTTGCAATGTCTGATGTCATGCACAGACGGTTGGCCAAGCGCGTATTTTCCGTGAAGTCGCTCGTCAAGGCATCCTTCCCTACCCTACATTTTTCGCATCTACTCGGCCCTTCGGGACACCTCTTGGACCAGTTGCGCTCAAATACGCGATCACCATCCTCGCCATATTTGCGCTTCCGCACGAGACGCGTTTAACTTTCTTCTTGACCTCGCGTCATATCCGAACCTGGTAAATATCTACACTTTCGACCATCGCCTGGTTGAGAGGCCTTCATAATTTTTTTAGGGTTTCAGTGCCGCAACAGCGATAGGGCTGTGGCTGCTGCGCGCTCGCCGCGCAAGTGAAGGCCTGCAAAAGTCACCTTTCCAAGTGTGGAATGCTGTAATTGCATTGTGGCTCTTTCAAAGCGTATTCCTCCTTGTTATGCCATGGTGCGTATATCGTCTTTCAATGAACGGTTACAGGACTAGCGGTACGTGTATGTCAGGGTACCACCAGTGGACGGACACGCGGATGTCTCTTTCTGGTATGCGACGTGAGTTGTTTTCTTTTTCTTGCCATACGCGGTGGCGGTGCTAACCTTGTTTATGAGAGCAGATACTGCGTTGTGGGCATAGTCCTACTTCTCGTACGTGATATTTCAACTTCACTCTCTTGGTCGTACCCAATTTTTTGGTCAGCTTTGTGCCTTGTATTACTATGTGTGGATCGTTTTACTACCCAAGATTGGCGGGTATGAGATTGTTGAAGAAGTTGTAGATTTAGGTGGCGGCGCCCTCACATCGCGGCTGGTACGCAATATAAGATTCGATCACCTGAGCAGCGCCCCCTTCTTGCATCTCCTCATGACTAAAGCCGATACCTACAGTACTGATACCTATTTATTCGCCTGCGGCCACGACATACCGCGCTAGACTACAATACTGTACGGACTGAATCGACTAATGACAAATTTGTAAAATGTACAGCTGATGTTACACAGGAACTTGGTTGGATAGAATGGGAATAGAAGGCGTTGGTTTAGGTTGCCAACGATCGGATGTCTTGCACTGTAGCAGTGCACAGAAGTCATTTAGATCCTAGGATTCTGCCAAAGCGATTTCCTTTCTTCGTCATGTTGAGCGCATTAGCAGTTATATTCACAGTAAACTTACCTGTCCAACAGGACCCTTCACCTTGATGGCACGTTTCTTGTCACCCACCCTTTTATGGACCCGGAGGCCATCGACCTCCTCCATTTTCTCGCGAAGCATCTTGGAAGTCTCGCGCGCATGCTTGCGACTCGCCTCCAATACCTCCTCTGCTGCCCGTAGGCTCGCTTGCCCGTGTTCATTTGCTGTACGCGCAGCGAGGAGGTCCATTTCAGCCTTGTGCGCGTCGCTCAGCGCGCGGGAGTGCCGCGAGTGGGACACGGCTTCCTCCTAGCAGCACGTCAAGAAACGAGTTATGTGGGGGGATGGGAGCCAGAGTTAGGTGAGAAAAGGTTTACCTTGATGGACGCCGTTTGCAGCTCCTGGATCTCTTCCAGCTCTTTGAGCGCGACGTGCAGGGTGGCTTTCTCTGCCTTGGCTCCGCGCTTTTCGATCTTCGATAGCTTTCGGACGAGGACATCTGTGTGCGTTCAGCCCGCAGTGTCAATACTCTGTCTTTATAGATAGCGTGATGGAATGGGGAAGGTTAAAGAAAACGCACACCCGTCCTTGCTGATGGTGGCCTTTTGCATAGCAGGCTCTTCGTCAACGCTTGCCACGCGCGCCTGTGGGCTTGGGTCTACATCGGGAAGTTCGTTCGCTGCAATGGCAGCACCTGTCGCGGACGCACCCTCGCCCACCTCGTTGTGCGGAGGCTGCGATTCGTGCGACGGGTTGTGAGGGACGTTGAGCGTCTTGGGTCCCAGCCTTCCGCAGCTCCACCGTTAGGGGCCGCGACTCGGACAGCAGGGGCAATTTCCGGATGCTCGTCGGAAAGGGGCTGCCCGTATGAACGGCTGGGCGATGCCAGATGGTGTTCAGAAGGTTGAGGTAAAAGATCCGAAGTGAGCTCATGAATGGGCTGCGGACCAGCAGGTTCCTGTCGTTGTGAAGTCATTTCTCCACCCTGATAATGTGTCTCCGTGTCGACCGCAGCAGCCGCGGCCTGAAGTCGTGTGTTGATTGGTTTGTTATGCGACGGGAAGGCAGAATCGGGCGATGGTCCTCCGGGGAAGAACCCCACGGGCGAGCTAATGGTGGAATGAATGTCGGGGTTGAAGCCGAGTAATCACCCGAGAGGGATTTGGACATCACAGCGTGGAGACCGAAATGATAGGAGTCGAAGCAAGACTCGGAAGCAAACGAGCCATGGCCCAATGGATTTATGCGACGTCAACTTGGCCCGTTGGGCTGGCAGCTGCTGGCGAAAACGAGCTCACCGGTTTGTCGCACACGCATGACGCACTAGACGCTGCGCGGAGGTTGATAAGGAGCTGTTCGTTCTATCTGCCCTTCCAAAAGAATTCCCTATTAGTCCACAATTACTGGGAATGCGACACGCGGACCAAAATCCAGCGGAGTGAACACACTCTAAATATGCCGAAGATATCTCGTCCTCGTCGACCAGGACCACGGTGCGGTTTACGTACACGGCCTTCACCACCTCCTTCTCCCTCAGCTTATTCTTCTCCGACGACGAGGACGATCGAACATCCTCCAGGATATATTCCACGCTAAGCGCAGATAACGCACCGCCATATGCATGCGAGATGCCTTTTGTTCGTCTATTAGCCCTTCACATTATGCGGGAGTCAGATTACATTCTCACCGGTGTCGATGATGATGATCTTGCCGTTGCAACGCGATACAATTTCCTGCAATGAATGGTAAACTTCACCTTGAGCCAAGGAGAAATCGCACACCTCGAAGTCGGGCGTGTGTCCCATTATCATCCGCCTCGTTCCTGTCTTTTCAAGTACCGAGTCAACTTCTCGGCACACCTTTCCTCGTCATGTAGTGCCCATCCACGATACCATAGAGGGCCATCTGACCCATAGAACGTGTGCTCCTCGGGGGTTGCGCGAGATGGTAACCCAGGGTATGGGTGGGGCGGGTGGGGAGGCGGTTGCACTCGGAGCTGTAACTTGCGCAGCAATGAACGTCCAATAGTGTTTATGGCAGATGGGAATGGCGACAGCCGCGTATAGTTGGGCGAAAGCCCCCCATGTACAAACGAATAAGCGGCGTGAGAGAGCGGTGTGGGCAAGGGGCAGCCACGGATCCGGCATGGGGAGGAAAGTCTTCATTCGGCGCACCAAGAACTGGGTGAAGAGGAAGGCGAGATGCGGTCGTGTAATTTGCAGCCCAAGCACGTCCAATGCGGCCAGTGGAGACCATAGCCTGCCTTGCAGCGATGCCACCAAAGGTCTTGATCTCGCTCTCGTAAACATATCTGTGTCAATTCTTGAGAATATGGTACCTGATGCCACACTGACAACGTACCTCCAATCGCCTGAACATCCGGGTCATCAGAGAAGGGATATAACGTAGTCACTGAGTAGTTAATGGCGCACTGACCAATTGCATTCATCCATTCATGATTTCCTAGATGGGATAACATTTGCCCACCAGCACGCTGAGCCTGCGATCGCAGGTCTTCCATCCAGCCAAACAGTTTGATCGTGTCATCACCCCTGGGGTCTGGAAGTCAGCAATCCAGTATTTACCGCGCAATAAACACACCGATCAATGATGTCTCCCGTTTGCACAAGACGTCTACTTCGCCTGACCACATGCCGTCCGAGTCAACAACCCGTGCCATTTCAAGGACTTTCTGTGCGTTTCCGATGTCTCCATGCAAATCGCCCACAGCGACGATCCGAGTTGAGTATTCTATGTGGGGACGAGGTGCATTCCAGAGAGAGTGGCGTAGTGGGTCAAGGAGGAAAAGCGCTAGGTAAAAAAAAGTCGCAAAAATGATGACGGAACCGAGGGCTGACGAAAGCTGGGCATGGAAGGAACTGTGACTTTGGTGTGTAGACGTGGGTATTTAAAGTGCCAACGATGTGAGAAATAAAACCAAAAAAATCCTGCACTGGCCGGGAATTGAACCCGGGGCGGATCGAATTGGTCTGGCAACGATCCAGGTTACCACTACCCCACCAGTGCCTTACTGCTTCAGGTAATACTTTTCAAATATAAGTTTTTGATCAGCTGACATCTTGACGAGGTCACACCCCAAGCCGGCGGGTCAGTTGGAGCCTGAGACAGGTATTTTGTTCGCTTGTTATAAGTTATTGGTCTAGTACTACAGTAGCGTAGTTTCTTCCTATCTTATTAAGGATATCTTCCCGAGTCCATCCCAACGTTCCTTTAGTAGATATTCCTACGCTCGTTCCAAGTTACAGTGATTCGTCACCGTTCCCTGGAATCGTACACCGGCCATCCACCCAACTGATATAAAATTCCAGCCTACAGACCAAAAACAGTTACATGCCAGAGGGCTTCTGTCTGCTGCTGTCTCCCTAAGAGCTGAAAATCGAAGTATCAGTCAGACATTGCATTTGAGCAATAAAATAATCTCATCGAACCTTGCTCTGCCCGCGCTATGCTTCCGGAGAGAATCTGCAACTTCTTGGTGTCCAGATCGGAGCGCAGCTTGGTATGGTGTATCGCCATCGTCATTCAGAGCATGTACATCTGCACCATGTTCAAGTAACAGATTCACAACCCCGAGGTGTCCGTTTTCGGCTGAGAGGTGTATCGGAGTCCAATAATCTTGTTTCCTCGCGTTCACGTTTGCGCCGTGATCGACCAGCACCCGCGAGACTTCGAGGTGTCCGTATCTTGACGCCTCGTGCAACGGTATCCAACCCCACTTATCACGTGAATCCACCTCAGCGCCCCGCTCGATGAGCAAGCGTACAACATCAGGTTCCCCTTGTACGCTGCTCTGTCCAATGGAGTCCGGTTGCTCGAATCGCGACAGTTGATATCTATTCCCCGTTCGAGCAACGACTTCACGACGTCAATGTTCCCCTCTTCCGCAGCAGCATGCAACGAACCCTCTCCCTCATCCTTCCCATCTTCGTCGGCGCCGCACTGAGCTGCGTCCAATGTGGTCCGGCGTATCTCAGATCGAAATTTCGCATTTGTTTTGTATTTGGCAATGAACTTCGCAACCTCGGCTTGGCCATTCTCCAATGCCAATTCTGCTGCAGTTTTATTGGCCTTGTTCAGGACGTTAACATCAGTTCCCCGCCTAAGTAACAGCTTCACGACTCCCAGGTGCCCACCATGTGATGCAGCGTGCAGAGGAGTCCAGCCATTGCTGTTAGTGAAATGCAGATTTGCCCAATGGTCGATCAGGAAACGGGCAATCGCTACTTCCCCGTTGCGTGCTGCTTGGTAAAGTGGAGTCTCTTGTTTGTCATTGAACATGTCAACACAGGCGCCACGCTGGACCAGCAATTCGGCAACCCTCGTGTGGCCGTTGTTCGATGCAAGATGTAAGGGGCTCCAAAGATCGTCATTCTGGGCGTTTGCATCAACGCCACTGTTTAACAGCAGCCGTGCCATGTCAAGATGCCCATATCTTGACGCGAGGTGTAATGGAACCCAACTATTGTTTTCCCGCGTATTCACATCGGCCCCTTGCTCAATCAGGAAGCGCCCGACTTCGACATTTCCGTGGCTCGATGCCAGGGCCAATGGGGTCATTTGAGTCCCATCCCGAATATCAACGGCGGTACCGGTTTTGATTAACATTCGCACGACATCGAGATGCCCATTTGCCGATGCGATGTGCAGTGGATTCCAACCCTTGCTGTTTTTAGCGTGGATATCTGCACCATGCTCGATGAGGAAACGAAGGATGTCGAGCTTGCCACCGCTGGATGCCAAGTAGAATGACGTCTCTTCGCTTCCGCTCCGAATGTCAACATCGACGCCACATCCTAGCAAGAGCTCCGCGATGTGAAGATGCCCATTTTTCGATGCTATGTGGAATGGAGTCCAGCCTTTGATATCCTGGGTAGACACGGCCGCGCCACTCTCAACCAAAAAACGCGCGATGTCGAGGTACCCAAACTGTGCAGCGCGATACAAGGGAGTCGCCTCGTCGTCGTCCTGGCTATCAACATTTGCACCTCGCTCGACCAATAACGTCGCGACGTCGAGGTGTCCACAGCCTGACGCGAGATGCATTGCTGTCCAACGATCTGCTTGGTGTGCGTCCACGTCAGCGCCGCGATCTACCAAGAGCCGTGCAAGACCAAAGTATCCATATCGTGACACATAATGCAGGGGTGTCCAATCTCGTGACTCGCGTACGTTCACATCAGAGCCGCGGTCCAACAATAGCCGTGCGACGTCAACATGCCCACAATGTGACGCCTTAAGTAAGGGAGTGAGGCCGTCTTTGTCCCGGGATTGTAAGTCTGAGCCGCGCTCTATAAGAAGGCGTGAAACTTCAAGCTTCCCATTACCACATGACACGTGCAATGGCGTCTGTTGGTTCTGATTCCGCGCATTAAGGCTTGCGCCTGATTCAAGTAACTGTTGCGCGATAGAACGACACCCATTTCGTGCCACCACGTGTAGCGGAGTCCAGCCTTCATTGTTGGTGGCATTTACGTTTGCCCCAGAATCGACGAGAAGTTGCACGATCTCGAGTGATGATTGCTCCATGACAAGGTGTCCACCACGTGTTACTATGTGAAGTGGAGCACTGCCCTCGTCATTACGCGAGTTGGGATCTGCACCGCCTTTAAGGAGCAGTGATGTGACTTGTACATGTCCTTTGACTGTGGCGGCATGTAACGGAGTTATGTGAGAACCGCCCCGGCTATTGGTGTATGGTGAATGGGAAACGGCGCGTCGCCCCCCGAGACGACGAGACCCCCGCAGAGCGGCACGTAACAAACTTCTGCGAGCATCGCCCCTACTATTGGCGTCCGGTGAATAGGAAACGAGAAGGCGCCGCACGAGACCACTGAAACCACATAGAGAGGCATAATACAAAGGCGCAGCCTCAGGCCCCGTCGGATGTATTGAGGACATCGGATTCACCCAATGGTGGTCTATGTCATATAGCCAAACCCATGTCGCAAAATGTGGTTTTGTCCGATCGAACAGACGTTCCATGACCTCCTCAACATGCGAAGATACGTTCCTAAACCGGGCATGGTCGACCCAGTGTCGAGCGGCATACAGGGCGAGGGGAAAGTGACATATGGAATTTCTGTCCATTTTGTCATCGAGTCGGAGGAGGACACTGAGGCTAGAATGGGCGAGAACCGTATGCGCCGGTTCGAGAGAAATGTGATAGTATGAAAGTCGTTTGTCTGTTGTCGCAAGGCGATCCGATGTCAAGAATTCCTTGACTGAGAAATGCGAAAATTGAACAATTTGACCGCCTTCCCTATTGACTATCGCAACGAGACTTGAGCATGCGGATAACACCGCTTCTTCCGCATCCAATGGCCGCAAATATTCGTTAAACGAGGGAGTCACTGTCGCGTCAAACTGAATCGCAAGAATCTCTGCGAGCTCGTCAACGCGAAGTGGGCGAATCGACACCGAGAGGCATTGGAATAGACGTTGGGCGTATTTTCGTTTCTCCTTATCGATCCCCAGCAATATCTGCTCGTATGTCTTATCCAGACTCTCTGGTAGATCAACCAGAGCACTCCGAATACTGGCCGGAAAACTGCGACGAAGACTTTCAAGTTGGCAGACGACCCATCGGAACCTATGTCATGACGTGAGTGGTCTGTGAGGGACTATGACCACAATTACAACTCACATGCCATCTGCATTTTCAGAAAGCACCTGAATGACTAGTTCCTTGTCCTCGTCTCTCCAACTCCGCATCTTCCTGTCTGAATGAACAACGGACTTGATATACTCAATTAAATCATCCTTTTGTCCCCTCTCGTCGTGAAGCGAAATTCGGAGTGGGTTCAATGGCTCGAGAGTCTTTCGGATGTCGATTTCTGGACGGCTGGCTACGCACAGATGAAGGTTCGAGAGGTTCAAACCAACAAATTCCTCAACGAGCTCCAGGACCTCTTCACGAGCAGACCGCATCCCTGACGCGTCAGGACATTCATCGAGAGCGTCGACGATGATATAAATTTGGCCTTGTCCCGGCAGACTGAGCATCTCCTTGATACACTTTATAAGCGCGCTAGTAGTGGGATTTCTGTTCTACCAGCGTGATTTGAACGGAATTGGGATAGAATTTCCGAGCAAGAACTGGATTCGGCAGAGAGTTGGGAAAGAATAGAAGATAGGAGGCCATAGCGGTCTTGCTTCCTGACATCACGAAAGTCGAAATAATAATAAACCATTATGGCCAATCCAGCTGCGCGCATGCCCTCGACGTCTTGAACGATTGCGGAACTGGACAGGAAGATTAATCTCAAATTCAACCAGATCAACCGATGAGGAACTACACACAGAAGTGTACTTTTCCCCGAACCCGCTATAAAATTAGTTAGTCATCAATATGTTCACTCACTGACACTGGCAGATTGAAAACCATACGTTTACCATGAATCCACAAGAACGACCCCTTCCTTTTCCATTCTCTTAACGTATCGCTCTCAAAGAACCACGATGCAGTTCCAATGTGGTGCGCTTTCCAAAAGAAGTCATGATTCGTTGATGGGTCGGGAGGGGAAAGCCAATGCTGGGCATCCCCTTGCGACTGATTACCTGCAAGGTACTGTCAGTCTTGGCAACGAGAGGTAAGGCTAAGGAATAACAAACGTGGTGACTCCTTCCTATCTACAACAAGCGCTCAGGAAAATATCAGCAACAAGTCATGGAAACGCTGCGTACCTTCCATTATTAATCTCACATCGCCTACGAGACCATGGACAACACCCAACGTTTGTGTGCCAGTCATCCGAGCCTCCTCCTGGGTCAAATGGTCTAACTTCTGTAGCACGGTCTCAACCTCGCTCTTCCCCAACAACTTTCTCGCAAACTTCTCTAGGGTACACTGAGCCATTGACAATATATGTGTGATGGCACACTTACTCAACCGTCCCTGTTTTATCTGCTTTGTCGCCAGTGCAAGCACGGAGAGTATTTCGACCATAATTTTGACAATGATGTCCGTCATCATCGTAGTAGGTGGAATTGTCATATAAATTTCAAGA